ATTCTCACTTATTTTTTCCGCCTCTATTTAAGTTGATTGCTTTAAGTGAACAGGGTTTTGGTGCGGCAGTGCAAGAGCAGGTAACGCATAACAACCCAACTAATCATTACAACACTGCGATATTATCCAAGGACCCACCGGTGACGTTTCTCCTCCTCTGGAAATGCTCTTATAAAACATATGAGCCAAAACATATCAAAGAGGAAGATGGAGGAAACGATGTCGCAGCAGAGCTGTATCTATTCCAGTTGTGTGCGAGGGTGTTTGTGGAGCTGAAGATTCAATTATGGTCTCGGCCCCCCCATTTGCAGCAGAGGGCCTAAAGACGCACTCAGCCACGCTATGAGGGAGAAACCCTTTGGCGGGTCGCAGTGAGTGTGCACACTTGAGCGTGTTTGCATGAACCGTGTGCATGGGCGCGCATGTGTTTGTACGACTGACTGTCTTCCTCTCGACCCGGGCCGCTTGCTTCCAGCCCACGATGCTTCCCGATTCATCTACAAACCGTGGAAGTCCGGGATCTGGAGAGGGCCACTGATGTATCCCTGGGCCCTCCGCACTCAAACTGAATCACTCAGGCGGCCGCACATGGACAACAGGGCGGAACTGCCTGGCTTTTGGAAGGTCACTCTAAGAATAGCTTTCAATACGTAAAAAAAAAAAAGAGATAAAAGAGTTTCATCCGGCGCACACTGAAATGTGCATGAAGGCAAATGGACGCAGAAGAATGCATTAATTCATGGACACAGGCGCGGACCAAAGCACTCTGAATACTGTCAAACACACGGACAGGCAGTCCGCTGCAAAAATGGCAGAAAATTATGCAAAAGTCCTGTTCAAAACATCTCACAATTCACTGATGAGAAAAGTGGAAACCAAACAAAAAGGAAAGACATTGATTCCCTTTGTGCTCGAAGCGAAAAGCTTCTTGGCAAATGTAAGAAGTGCTCTCCAAACCTCATTTGTTCCACTAATGTGCCTGGAAGATGGTTAACAGCCTCAGAGAGATCCCGGTGGTGGTATTTGATAGTTAATGTAAATGCACCACACTGGCTACATTAATCAGACAATAGACAAGTGACTAATCACCCATTTATTGATTAAACAAATCACTCATTCATCTTGGTTGTCCTCTCACAATATATCTGCGTTTACCTCCTCTCCATCAGTCAAACAAACACTATAGTGTATTAATGCAGCCACACAGCTGATGTTTAATCTAAATGGGATTGAAAGTAAATTCAAGTGACTACATTAAAAAAGAAAATGTAAATGTAGCTTAAAAAATGCAATGTAGCTTTGGATAAAAGCGTCAGCTAAATGACATGTAATGTAACATGTAATTACACCGAGTGAGGGTTTGTGGATAAAACTTTATTCCTTCATTGAACAACAAAAACATGAAGGTTGAATAAGATACTGTATTCTCCATGATCCCCCCTAAAAAGTCCTCTTCCAAATGTGAAATGAATTAAGCTTCTCAAGCCTCTGGTTTTAAGGTTTTTTTTCCCTAAATCCTTTCAGGTCTACGTTATTATTATTTTAGAAAAACTACCAATAATCCAATTGGAGTACAAATTTATTTAATGTTGCTTACAGAGAGATAAATCCCAAAAATATAACCTCAGATATAGTAAATCCACACATTTCTCCCAAAGCCGCAAATCCTTCACACTTGAACTCTAATCTGACAAAATGGGTCCATTTTTCCTCCAATGAAATGCCCCAACTACCATCCCTTTCCAGATTATTTCTCTCATTCCTCCGTGATCTGTCTGCTCCTGCTCTTCCCCGGCGTCCTCTTTCTTTTCACTGTGTCCTTGTGAGGCGAGCAGTGATCATCCGTGAACTCTAGCCTGGCAGATGGGTGAGAACACAAGCCTGCGGGGGCCACCGAGGGGTTAACCACACCGCAGCGTTCGCTCTGTATCCAGGAACCCTTCAAAATCGTCACCATTGTCTTTTTCCCTTGAGATCGTCGCATGCATGCATCCAAATGCGTGCATGCGTGTGTGTAAATAGAAGCTGCCCAGGCGAGGCGGGTGGTTATTATGGGATATTACATGTTGGGTGATCACGTCTTTGGACGGAGGAAGAGAAGAACTAAATAAAAACAGACAGTCTTTCCAAACAGCTTGAACACAACTGGATGAGAGCAGCAGATGGTGCGCCACCGCCCCAGATCCCTTTAATCACAATACCACTCAGTCGTGCTTTAATCACGCGTCACGTCACGTGAAGATACTCAGAAGCTCGGATTCATAAAGCGGGAGTAGTCATTTTGTTGAAGTTCAGCCTGGGAGATACTGGCTAGTCTCACAGAAAGAGATGGAAACTCTTCCTGGGACCGTTTGCTACAGTCTTCGCTGTCTGGACGCCCGTCTGCTTTGCTCGGCAACTCTGCGTCCCTCCGTCGCCTCACCCGACCCATTTCAAGTCAGCCTCGTCGATGGTGATTCATCGAAGCGCTCCGACTGACGATTCCGGGAAAAAAGGAGATTTCTTTGAACTAAGTACTGTTTAACCTCCCTGTTTGGATAAAGGGGGATTCGTTGGCTGGCTGGTGGACAGTGTACACACAATCCGACGCTGTCCGGTTGAAGGACAGTCTCACTGCTCACTGTGGACCTCAGGCACCCGCTCACACTCCTCCAGTCAATGACAAAATGCAGCAGACACGGTGGCTTTGACCCGATTCAACGGCCACCAAGATGGCGGCTAGGTCATTAAGGAACAATTGTTTGATGCATATTAGATAATACAAGAAGACAAGATCGAAGAGAATTTTGAATTAATTCACTGCAGAACAAATGCAATGTAAACTCACCGGTGACTCTCTGTTGATGATACAGCATATTGCAGAGTATTTACACTTTTTAGCACAGTTCTGCATGGAGAGAACTTGAGATGACTGGGTAATTATAAAGCCCTTACTTGTTTTTTTGCAGACAGATGTTGTGCTCATGAATCTTAACGCAGGTCGGATACCCAAACTGACTGCAAAATGAGACAAGAGGTCTCAGCCCCAGCCGAGGTGCTCTGCTCTGACAAGAGACCAGATGGCTGTTTGTGGGAATAACGAACCACATCAGAGAGACGGAGAGTCAAAGGACGCTGCAAATTCCCCACTACAGCCTCCTCCTCCTCCTAAACAGATTGACTTTTCAAACTGTGGCTTAAACATGTTTTAAATTGAAACAGAAAGAAAATAAAATGTAAAAAAATAGATATTTTTAAAATGAACTTCCACCAGGGTTTCATGATGCAGGTGCGGTGTGTGAGGGTGAGCGTTACGCGTCAGTGGCGACTGGGTGAATTCACTGATTCCCATGGCTACAGCGAGTGTGCAAGTGCATTCAAGCGTATTTCTGTGTATATCCGATGGAGCTTAGGTTGTCGGCCCACATTTGAAGGAATTTCATTAGTTCTCCGGCAAAATTGAGTCTTTGTTGAATAATTCATGTCGTTTTTTTTTATCAAGTAAAAAATGTTTTCTGACCCGAAATATGTTTAGTTACTGAATCGGTTACATTAGTGGTCGATATATCAGATCAGATCAAATAAATCCTAAACCGGAATCAAAGGGAAGTGAGTTAAACGATTTATGACCCGCCGCATTTGATCACAAAGGCACCTTGAAAAGTCCAGCGTAACCAAGTTACAGGCCGGCGATTCATTGTGTCCGATACAACTACTCCTGTGATCAGACTTTTCACTTGCTTGTCCGTGTAGCTAAAGTTCATTAGCTCATTATGATGACTAGATGCTAAAGTGGAAATGAAAGCAAGAACAACAACCCAACTGTCACACGTTTGATTAAAAGACTTTACTTGAAGCATCCAGCCTGTAGCACATTCTAAACGGATGGAGTTTGGCCAAAAAGCATCTATTCCCCCAATCAATACTAATGTAACAGAAGGATTATGACTATCTCATAAAGAGGAGATTGAGCAGGACAATAAAAAATAAATATAAGAGACTATTTGCATTGGCGATCATAGAGAAACAGCTTTCCTTTGATTATTATCTCTACATTTGCAAGTTTAGGATTGTAAAATGTGCAAAACAATTGGTTTGTTGAGGGAATTTCATTATTGTCGATATATAATGGAACCGTATTTAAAATGTCCACCGTCAAGTCCTACAGAAAAAGGCAGTAGATCCAATGAGCCCAAACTCATCTCTGGGCAAAGTTAATCTCTGCAGGAAGCATTTCTTTGATTCACTAGAAATTACTGGCAAAACATACATTACCAACTTCTCATGAATGTGAACACAAACAAACAAGTATGCATGCAAAAACACAGGGGACCTCTTGTAAAACATTAACACCGTCAGGGAAAAGCAAGTCATGTTCCTTCACTCATTTGTGAATGTGCAACATAATGCATGATGCATAACGTCCTTCTCCATGTGTTGTTTCAAAGGACATTCAAATGCATATTTTCAAATATTTTTTGAAAATTATTATGCAATCAAACGCCAATGATAGTCTTTTAAACAAAACTGGGGGAGAGATAGTCAAGATTAGTCATTGAAGAACTCTGAACTTGCATGTTGTATGTTCCAAAATCACACGGATAGGGTATACATGGCCTTTGTGATCTTTAGCGTCTGTCTGCAGGCGGATACAACATCACGAGTCATGTCTCCGTTTCTCACAATGTTCATTTTGTAACCCCGAGCAACAGACGCAAAGTTAGAGAGACATGGACCTGATTCCATGACGCCTTTAGAGTCACCGGCATGCACGATCAAGTCTGATAGTAATGATGCCTCCCACGCTTGCCCAAATGACGTTTCACCACATAACAGCAAGCTCGTGCCTCCAGCAGGTTAAATGTATCACGCTCAACATGAATGCTGTATCGGAAAGGACCCACAGATCAAGAAACGTGTCGCCAGCAAAGAACGTGAAACCTTCCTTTACTGAATAACCATGATTTTTTTTTGTCTAAATAAGCTCCTTGTTGGAAAAAACGTATTGATGCTTTTCTTACCTGAGACAGTGCTGACAACCTCAGTGGTGTTTCTCAGGCCCACGAAGGAGAACTGGTAGAGCCTCCAGGAGCGAATGTCCCCGACCTCGACGGAGCTCCTTTTCCACTTGTAAACAATCTCCTCCTTGGGGTAACCATCTAAACAAGGAGAGGACACAGTCACAGCGAGCTACAAGACGAAAGGAGGAGAGGTAAACGACACTTCAGGCAAGATGGGAAGATAAGTTTAAAGCAATGTGTTTTAAAACTGTTCAATATAAAAGCCCACATTCTTTAGATTGATCCACACAGGTGAGCCAGTGGGCCTGGAGGGGGAAGCTTTTCATGAGACAATCATATAATGTGTGTGTGTGTGTATATATATATATATATATATATATATATATATATATATATATATATATATATATATATATATACATACACACACACACACACACACACACACACACACACACACACACACAACACACTCCGGACAAAATATGCAGTTCATCTGTGGAGTGAAAAATTGAAAGCTGAAACACTCAGCTGATTAAAAAGCAAAAATGATTCACATCTGTCTAAGTCTTAGTAATTGCATTAGATCAAGAGGATGCTGTCTGGTCGGGATGATTACAATAACAATCTCACTAATGCTAATTTACTAAGACGATGCAGACGCATTACATGCACAATCAAATCATATTTGATATAATGTTGAATTTACATCTGGTAGCCAAATTTGGATTAAAAAACACATTGTTCAGCTTCTTTAAAAAATAATAGTACAATAAACTTGAAACTGCAACTCCATATCTTGACGGTTGTCGCCAGTCTACACATGAGAAGTGGGCAGCGGACAACGAGTGGCTTGAATAATGCATAGGAAACTTCAAATGGCTGTATTACTAAAGTGCTCTCTGCCATCGAGTAATGCCGAACCTCACAGGAGAAGCGGATGGAGGAATCTGCCACATTAAAGCGAAGCAGGCGGGCCGTCTGCTCCTTGGCTGGCAGTGCATCCAGGACAAATTATTGATTCAGTGTCCGTTTGGGAAGCCAGAACAACGACGCTGCCAGAGCCCAACGATGTAAATTCACTTTGAGCGAGCATATAATGACACGGTGCATCATCTGTGTGCGTGTGTGTGTCAAGCGTTCTCCTCAAACCGCTGCGAAACAGGTTCCGGCAGCGGAAAAATCTATAATAGTTTGTGGCACGTGTTGAGAAAATATGCCCGCGTGACACAAGGCCTCAGCCTGCTCGGGGCTCCGCCTGCCGCCTCGGAGATTGAGCTCATGTGCTGCACATCAAGCGATTTTCAAAGTTCTGAAAACATCCAGGGCTTTCATCAAATTTAAATGAACGCCTCTGTTCCATTTTTAGGCCTGCTACCCCTCTGCTTTCTCTTTCTTGTTGCCGTGGAGCTGTTCAGGAAGCCTTCTCTCTGGAGAATATCCCGTGTTGCATCTCTCCGTAGATCTGCAGCGGCCTCGTTACCATAATTTACCCCCCCATCCACTTCGCAGTCATTTGGACTTGTGTGCCTATTTGAAATAGTCTTCTAGAACAGTATATATGTACATATATATATACTATGAATGAATAAATGGTTTAACAAACCGTTTACTTCAAATATCTGATATAGTTACACATATAGTTATAGTTTCGTCATCTATTATAGTGCTTGTTCATGGGCTCAGACTGTGTATGTGTGTGTGTGTGTGAGTGTGTGTGTGCGTGAGATGAAAGGGACAAGAGGTAAAACAGTAGGAGTTCCGTAAAATGCCAAACTTACAGCTTGAGAACTCCAGGGGACACGAGTGCTCGTCCATTGGGAAGTTGTTCAGTTTGAGCTGGCACTCTGCATCGATGGTCAACCTGCAGAAACAGAATACTGGTATGCATATTACCTATAATAAAGTAACAGTTTATATTTAACAGGGTATTGGGAAAGTCAGAACAGCATTCCTTTTTTTATCAATATTAACACATGGAAATATTAATTTGAATTTCACCAGACCAAATTGCTGTTTTTCACAGCAACACACACGGCTCTTCGTTTGCACACTTGAGGGAGTTTGAAGGCAAAGTCATTAAACTTCCCCTTAATGAGAGAATGACCTTAAATGACTTTACCCGTCCATGCAGCCGCTGTTGTCATGTATCATTGTCCTCCCAAACACGGCGATAATCCCAATTAACCAGAGGTTCAATTCTGAGTTCCTTAACAAATTAATGAAGTGGAAGGGTAGTGTTCTGCATAGCAGAACATCCATCACGGCTTTATTGAGTCCAGAAAGGTTCTCTTTCTCCCTTATTATCGTGTATTGTTAGCTTCATGGGTTTTATACTCAGTATGCAATGATCGTAGTACTTTTAACCCATCATAGCAGTGATTTCCTACCATGTTCGTCCAATCAATTGCTCTGCAGGACTGGGTCCTTAATCAATAAAGCAATTACAATATTTTACTAGATTTCTGAAACTCAGAACGACTGAAATAAGGTTTAAAATGTTCACCATACGACATGTAAGCGTGCTTGAAAACATCAGTTTAGGGTCATGCAGTTACAGTGTTCCCCTTGTCACTAATAACTTCTTTCATTTATTTTCATTTTCACTTCTGCTGATGAATGTCAAATTGAAAACGTCAGAATGCAAAATTGCCGAAGGGCTTTTTGGGATAATCAGTGTTGTGCAGAGAGGCCGATAACTGTTGAGTACTGTGGTGGATTCCAGGAAGAGCTGGAAGCACTTTTGTGGCAACAAATTGATAATAATCCAAATATAAAATGACATGCTGCAGTGTTATCGTTAATTGTTAACTTGAGACTAATTACTAATGTTTTCTATATAATTCTGCTTCATTCAATCGAGAGCACTATAAGTAATTGTATATGTAAAACTACCTAATACATTATCTTTCTAGCGAAGGAAAGTAAATGCTCTTTTGTATCATTCGGTTTGGTTTTATCAAATGGTAACTGTTAAAATAAATAACTCAGCTGTATGAATCAAAGCAGACATGTCTGACATATCACCTGAGGGTGTAAAGTATCCGACCATCGTTCCAGATGCGAAGCATGCGATTGGGTGTGGTGATCCAGTGGGCGTCGGCCTTCTTCGAGTTGCGGAAGAACGTGTCCGGGATCCAGATCTTTCCGACCATGTTGCTGTTGAGACGTAGAACCTTCATCGTGCTGTTGAACTTTAACCTCCTGTCGTACCAGGTCTGGGCGAAAAAGATGTCGATGGTGTATTCCTAAAGATGGATGAAACAAGGTTTTTACCTCAATTGCGATGTTAAGCTCTGTTCAAAGGCTGAACATGATTAATAAAACACGAGACAAAAGTCTCCAAAATCTTGCAGACATTTTTCCCAGCCACTGCTGTCCCTCATATGTGACATGATATCAAATTGAACTGCGGGGCTGCAAAAGCCCAGCTTCTTCTGTCCGGGGGCAACTATTGTATAGCAGAGAAAACTTAATGCTGGAACACATTTGCAGGCACTTTTGTCTTCAGACAAGAGAGTTTCTGTCCAGACCAGCAAGTCCCTTTGTTCCTCTTAAAGAGTTGAAAAAGACCATCTTGAAGCTTTCAACCTGAAAATGGAATGTTTATCGTGGGCAATTAATAATTTCCCTTGTTTGGCTCAAGCAGTATGTAACCTCATTGCCATCCTAGCCTAGGACGCACTTTGTCCTCAGCCTACGAAACCTGCTATCAGTCCGCGTGAGAGCCGGGTTAGAATACACGTGAGAGGTATGAAAAGTCACGGGACAGAGTTGAAGAGCTTGAGGTGAGATGTGGTTTAGTGTGAGAGGGGGAGGAGACACAGCGAGTCAAAGGGATCAATCAGTCGTTCATATTTATTTTATTATTTGGAATGGTTGAGTTCTGAGGTACGAAGTGAAGTACAGCAGGAGAGGAAAAGAAGGGCTCACAGGCATTATCTTTTGGACAAAGCGCAGCCTTATACTAAAGCATAAATCTATAGCCAAAGAGTCCTAAACAGGATTTGAATTAAAAATATATATCGCTTTTTTTCATAGTCTGAGTTCTTTTCCAAATCACACTTCTGTAAAACACACACAGCTGCAAGCATCCAAAAACAGCTCTAATAAATTTCTCCTTCTATTTCTGGATGTTGGTCTGCCGCGTCACTTCCCCCTCTACAACCACAGTAATAAATTATCCATATTTCAAAGGTTCCGCCTCCATTATTAAGATGTAAAAATGGCGTTCATGCTTGTTAGCTCTTCAGAAAATCCACCTACCATATTTGTCACGTCATAGTGTGAACACACCGCTGAGGCCACGGTAATTACGTAAGAATGTCATCACACACACACACACACACACACACGCTCGCAGACACACATGTTCCCACTGATCCCGCCAATGCTTCCCTTTCAACGCCACTGTGACTGCAGTTATTGAGAGTGGGTGTTTCAGCTAAGACCAAGTGAAACGGAACACCGCCCCGCAGAGCCGACTGCTCTGCAGGGAAACAATAGGAGCGAGTTCTCAGCGGGGACGCGCCGCAGAAAACAATGACACATAAAACAACGCTGACGTAAGATTTGCTAATTCTTCTTTTTATCCAAAGGACGTTTGTCTTTTCCCTCCTCTGCACTACGAATTCATTAGTTTCTGCGCATTGCTTCAACATAACTAAGGGAGAGAAGAAAAAATCTTTCCATCCAAAGCGTCTCGTTAAAGATTCACTTCCAGCTTGTTAAATTGTTATTTTTAGGAATAGGGCCACACTGATAGAAAGCCGTTTTGGAAGAGGACATTGTACAAAAAAGCTGCGCTCCCACTCAAATTGGCAGAAATGATGGTGCATTACTTGTAAAGGCAATAAAATTATTTCCACACAGACTTGCCTTTGTGGTCACAAAAATCTTCTTGCATCTTAACATTAAGGCTAAAAAAAAGACACAAAAAGACACAATGCCTCACCACAGATTTGGTGGGACAGCGGCCGGCGCACTTTGACTCAAACTTTCAGCACGAAATCACATTCTGTTTAAAAGTCTGTATTTAAAAGCTTTACAAAAACTGGTGTTCCAAATTCCTGAGCAATAAATGATGTTGATAAGATGTAATAAAAAGAATAAAAAGCCTACAAATACAACAACGTGACGTGCAGTCACCCTCCGTGAGGTCTAAAGGTAACAAAGTGTTTAAAAGAATAATGTGAATTTATTCTATTCTATCTGTACTTTTACAGTTGTAGTCTAAACTCAAGGACAGCAACAGCGAGAGAACATATTATTGGACCAATACTGATATTTCCCAAATTGATATCAATGAATGAATGCATATACCAAAGGTTCACCTACATATCATGAGAATTTAAGGTCATTCATCCGTAGATAACCGAAATACCTTTAAAACAAAGAAAAAAAAGCTTTTGTATGGTACCTCTCATTAAAGAAGCTTTGTAGTCGGTGAACGCAGTTACACAACCAGTAAACAACTGAAATGTGTCACTGTCACCAGTAAACAGATGAGATGATCAAAATGCAGTCAAAGGTAAAAAAAAGAACGTATAAAAAACTGATCAAAGGAAAGTCACGACCTGCTGTAATCATTTGAATACACAGAGAGCTTGATCAGGAGACACCTCGGATGTCGCTGATGCCATTCTTGGCAATCACAAAGTTTTTTATGAAACACCAACTCAAGCGGCACATTTCCAAATATATGGTCACCTCAAAAAAATGCATATGCGATCAGATTCAGATCAGATTTATCACCTCCAGTGCAGTAGTTAAGGAGCTGATTGACACCTGTGTTGCTACACTAGAAGGGCAGTGGCGCAGCATAGTGATTAGCTGCACCAAACCGATCCACCGTGACAGCAAGCATCTGCTCTGCTGAAGTGTGCTTGAGCAGGACAGTGAAACCCTGCCAGGTCCAGAGAGCTCAGCCCCCCGACGATAAGGGAGGGCCGGAGACATCCTTAAAATAAATATTCTCTGTTAGTTACACGTGCAGTTTCAGCCTGGTTATTGATATCAAACATTGCCATGTTAACACCATTTTCCAGCATCACTCACCATATTGATGGCATTTACTGGGCCAATGCTGTTGACAAACATGTCTGTGTGGATCACTGTTGGTTTCACTGAAAAGAAGCACACAAGAAAGTCAGTAACATAGTGATCAGTTATCCACCATGCACATACACAGGACATTTCAGGAAGTTTTCTTTAATGAGTCTTCTCTGTCTTCATTGTCAATGAAGAAAAAGAGAGACATAATCTTGTTGTGAATGTTTGAGGAGGAAGCAGCTCAGCTGGCTCCCAGTCGATGCCATTTCAGTTTTATCTGATACACACCTGATTGACAGGTGCGTATGATGAAATCGTGAGACATTCTTTAATAATTTCACACTAAGTTCAATGAACGCGACATTTCGTCATGGATCTTTAACGGGCATGAAATCCAGAGCATAAAACCAAATGGCATGAATCAAAATGGTGGAATGTAAACAAAATGCAAAAGAAATAGATTAAAAAAAACAATATCTAATAATTATCCCAATACAGGGGATACAAAGATTACAATTACATTAGACAATATTACACTTCAAGCTATTTCAAGCTAAACATTTGATATAGTCTAATGTTTTCGAACATAGACATGTCAATAGAATAGAATAGATTCTAATGAAGACATGTGTAGAAAGCAATCATATATAAAGTTATTGCTGCTGTAGCTGTCTTGGGTCATTGTTTGGTGTTGGCTTTCATCCTGTGGCCAAAGTGAAAAAATGGAGATATCATATTCTTGTAATTGATGGCCGCATTTCATTTATTATACATTAAATGACTTATATTCAGGTATGCGTCAAATGCCGCTTATGAAAAAGAAAACTTGGGTTTCTATTTCTGCAACGACACTACATCGGAGCCTAGGGGGACAATTTAATGGTGAAACGGCTTTGTTTGTCTTTCCAACTGAACTCACGTCCCATTTAGCACAATACCGCGGCGCCCTCTTTGACATCGCATCCCCCGCCCTTTCCTACCCACCTACGCCAGGCATGTGAGCTCCTCTCGTTAGCCAATCAGTTACTGTCTTTTCTCAGAGATGTACTGATGCCAGGGGCTAGGGTTAGGGTTAGGGGTTGGGGTTAGTCAAATTGGAGCGCTGTCCTCGTCTTTCCTTTGTTACTATAACTATCAAACGTTGTAACATTGTATGTAACCTTTGTATATACATCAATTATCTTTGCTTGAGCACATGTGTAGATCTGTCCACCATCCGCCATGGATTACACCTTTGTGTTTGCTGCCCACACTTAGTGAGATGGGCAGACGTCAGAGGCGGTTCAGCTCAGGAAACTGGAAAGCTAGGTGTCAAGCAGACGGCCGTGCTCCGTCACACCCTCAAGACTTTTCAGCCTGGATCGCTACACTTGCGTCCACTATAACGTGCATCTTTGTGAATGACGGGACGTTGTGTAGGAGAACAGAGTCTGGGTGAAGGTGTGAGAGCAGGAATGATAGTTGCATAGATGGGGTTACACCGGCACACATGCATCTGCATTGAAACCGCAAACACCTTTGCACACACATATCTTCAAACAAACATGAAAAAAATTCATATCACGCTGGCGGTATCCCGGTATATCGCAGTATGTTCTTTCGAGTAAACTTTTATTCATTGACGCCGAAAAGGACTCGCTTGCAACTAGCCAGCGAGTTAACGTTAGCTTGTTAGCGAATTAGCTCAACCAACGTTGCAATAAAAAGCAGACACTTGTGTTGGTGCATCTCTGGTCTCTCGTTGATCGTCCTGGATCGCTCTCTTCCGTGTTTTCTTTTGGTTGTTTTTAGCAGAGCAGCTAGTTCAACGGGGTAATTTTATAAATGTACAATTATTAGTCTTTCAAATTGTTGTGTCGTGGTGTTTTACCCTGCTAAAGAGCATTTGTTGTGGGTTATTAATTGTTGTAAAATCTTAAAACCACAACTTAATCTCAATAGCCTACATGTAAGACTAATAGCTCTGACCGACGTGCATTCGGAGTTGAAGGGAAAAAATAAACTACTGCCTGCGAAACACCAGCTGTTACAGCTACACAACGGTATGAGCGTACATGAAAAACTGCATAATCTGAATGTTTAAGACTGAAAATGTGATGCAGGGAATATGTGAACCTGGACAACATTATTGCAAGTTGCCAATTAACATAAAGTGGCTCTGCTGAAATGTCTAACTTGCTGTCTGAGTGTCTAGTGAATGGATGATCAAATCAACTCACAGAATGACCAAATACAGCTCCATGCAACACCTATTCATCAAACTAACAATACAACTTCATGTCCTGTCCACTGATCTCTATATTATCTTAATCACGCTTAATTATGTGAAGTAATGTTTTTCGAGAAGGAAATGACATTCCATCATTAAGTCATGTATTACGACTAAAGAATTCTCCCCCCTCTCTCAATGTTTCTGTCCTATTTGCTTCACTTTTCATTCGTACTGTAGACTCCAGGGGCATTAAAATTAAATGAGCATCAGGATGGACTTCAAAGGGGAGGCTGAGGCACATTCAGCCATGAATCTGAATCCACAGCATTGCAGTGCTTTGAGGAGTGGAGGAGAATCTTTGCTTTTGCCTTGGTACGCCTGGTTGCTTGGTTGATTGGTTGGTGGATCAGATGACACTGTAGCCAGCTAATTATAACCCCTCTGTAGCTGTGTAACTTGGCAGCAGCTGGAATACCACCAGTGAGCAAGATCATAGCGTGTTTGAAGATGATGGTTAAGACGGTGGCAGCCAGCCGCCGAGCTACGCGGTGGCTCTCTGGGCTGCTGCTGCACCTCAAAGCAGATCTGAGCTGCTCTCCAATTTATAGCGCAAGTCCACTTTTAAAGTCTTAAGAATACAAATGTTACCCTTCATGAAATGTGTTACATTGCATGCAGCATTGTACTTATTGCACAGCATGAAAGCATTGTACCAGACTAAGTGGACACATCTATGTTACTTTCATCTTGTGGACAATTTATTGGTCATGCTGTAAAGCTGCATGGGGTCAGTTCTTGGAGGTGGAACTCCAGCTTAGTCGTTGTTTTTCTCCACGTAAAATTATTTGTAGATGCTACTTTAAAGAAAGCGTTGACACCTGACAAGCGTATTAGGAACCTCTCGATGGCTGTTGATGCAGCTGTTGGGGCAGCACATATATTCCCTCCTTAAGTAAACATTTGAAGGAGTAGTGACATAGACAAAGGCAAATTTCAGATTGGGAGAAAACTTTCCGGAGTGTCATAGCAGCTGAGGGGTTACACCATTTACAATGTCACAGGCCAGTGACATTGGTCCTACAAGGGCATTAATTCAAATCTATTCTTACCATCGGCTGCTTTAATACAGCACTAACATCTCCCCGGCACCGAACGGCAAAGCCATTCCCTCCCAGCATATGAAGTGGTATGTCTTTATTATTCTGTAAGAGTAGGTGACAGGTTCTGACTCAAAAATGTTTCCCAGGAATACTGTCCCATGAATCATCAAGTATTCAAAGGGTACTAAATTCCTCCCAACTCGCTCCCTTGCAGATGGACTGTAAGGCTTGAGGATAGACGGACTGTCCGGCTGTCTGTCAACGTGAGTATTATTTATTTATAGTCAAGCAGACAACACTATCGTCTTTGTAACCAAACTTGTCCTAATGAACAGAAGAGAGTTTGCATCTATCCTGGATTATGCTTTCTCATCGAGCACCACTGAGCTAGCTGATGTTACAGCTCAGCCGAGGAGGACAGCATAGATTATTACATCCCGCGCTGTCACGATGCAACTTTTCGAATTACTATCCGCCAGGACTGTGTGTGTTCATCCGTCATTGGCCGACACTTTGTGGATCCCATGAGGTTTGTTTTGCCTAATCAAATACAAAAGCACAGACTTCCTTACATCGCCATTACTCAGCAGCTGCAGTTGCGATTAAACGTGTATTTCATTATGATTCTGTCACTAATACTCATAGAATTGTGAGAAATCGGCACCCACCACCGATGTCAGGCCTGAGTTTGTTGTCATATCCGTCTAGTAGGCTGTTTAGGACGTGTGTGACGTCACTCTCGTACACTTTGGGAGTCAGCACCCACGTCTTGTTAGTAGCCTCGTCATCGTCTTCAACCTGGAAGGAGCTGCAAGGAGAAGAGAGAATAAATCATATGTTTTCATAGAAAAAAGAACAAGCAGTGTTTGTTTTTTTAACCGTGCTCTGCTTTCTTGAAAAATGAAAATAAAGAGCTTAGAGACTCGGCCAAAAGGTATATTTACAGGGCTTTTCCTCATGACGTTATAGTTGTATAGTATAGTTGCTTCTCTTTTGTTCATAGGATTTTTTGTCAAACAAAGTGGTTGCAGCACTGAAAGATGCAGGAGTTTCATAAAGAGTCAGAAGATGAATTAACTATAGTTCACATTCAGTGCAAAACATGTGACACAAAACATCCACTTTTCACAAATAGCGTGATATTTTCACATCATTAATCAATTTTAATGAGGCTTTGGTGAATCGCCCCTTAAAAGTCGTTATCTTTTACGTACCAGTTTTCTTTTAATAAGGAGAACTAAGGTTTGGTTTATTTTTAGTGGAACATACATCAGGGCATATCAGTGTTCGCCACCACGCCAGCTGAGATCCACTATTGTCTAAGTGACACTTTGTTTTTATTATTAAATTGGTCCTCTCGGAAGCCTTGTACTAAATTTTTTCCCCAGTGCAGGACCTTGCCAGTGTTTAATTTGAGTAATGTGGTTAGACATTCAGCAACTTTGCAGGCACGAGTCGTGCAAACTCACCGCAGCTTTGACAGCTGATTTTAGCGTTAATGTTGAGTAAGTTGGACGCAAAATAAAAAGCCCACCTGGATAGATTTATCACAAGCATTCATAAGGTAAAATGTTCTGACTTTTGTTGGCTTCCATCCAGGCTACCACCTCCCGCCAAGAAGTCGTATGACAAAGAACAAGTTTGATTAACTGATTGACAAAGCGCTGTGATACCGTTTACACCGAAAAAGCCGAGGACGGGTTGTCCCACTCAAGGTGTATTTGTAAGGCGGCTTGACAGACACTTAAAGTACAAGGTTTCACTACCACTAAACAGAAAGAGACTGAATCTAACCACTGCTGATATGATGCAGATACTGTAAAAGGCATGTCAAAAGAGCACAGTTATAGCTACGATTACTTCTTAACACAACAATTTAAATGTACACACACTTTTTGTGAGGATCTGATTTAATAACACGTTTGAGCCGGCCCGAGAAAACACTGATAATTAACACAGATGTTTACAGGCACACACTGTATCATAAAACCAAAAGTGATACAATGATGTTTAAATACAGAATGATGAAGTGAGATACAGCGATTCCAAGTAATAAGGGTTTAAAGAATCAGCAAACGGCATCCACAATGAAACATTTGGTAGCCTACTGAGAGGAAAAAGAGACTTCTTAATTATATAATAAATAATCATGAGGGGAGAGGTGAAGAAAAAGACAGTTCCAATAATAAAGCACAAAGATAGAAGCTCTGATGGCCTTCTCATGCTCCTCTAGGCTGGTTGTGAGGAATTCTGTTTGGACCAGCAGTCTTCTTTAGACTGCATTAAGTGCCATCCATCTTGACCACAATGCTCATGCCTTAAACATTATTGCTTGATATTTTTCTCAGGTGGATCCTTTTTTATACCGTTCAGGATGTCATAAAATATATATCCAGGGGGTATTTGTCTCCGGCACTGACAGACTAGATGTATGGTTGCATAGATGGGTATATAGAGTAAATTTGGGCATATGGAAACCACGAATAGATCATTAAGGGAAGAGCCATGAGTTCTCCTCTGCAAGCACATCTGATGTTTTGCCTACTGATGCGGTACCTGAAGATCCCCGGAGAGTTCTGTGCCAGCGAGTGCTGTGTGCGTGCTGTTGTGCGTTTCTGTGAAGATATTTGTGTTTGTTTTTCATGCATGTTCACAGCTGCGTACGTAATGAAAGTGAGGACTGGAGTTAAGTGTTGTGTTCACATCAACTCTCATTAAGCACGGGCTGATATTTTGAATTATTCTACCCCTTCATATTTTGAGGTATCATCAACGAACACTCGCATCAGCTCTATATGGAGCGGCCAAATTAAAATCTCAGGTTACATATGAAGTCTAAGTAGGGTAATAGCAGCAAAAACATCTTTGTTCATATTATTAGCGTACACAAAAAGTGTTCTTGGGGTATGATTGTTGCATGTTTTTAAGTGTATCTAATAAAGGAATCGAGTCTCCTCATGCTAATTAACAACCAAAATAAAATTGGTTCTGCACCTCTGGGCACAACACAATAAATCTGTCCTGCACATCATATTGTTGCCACAGCACAACTCTGCTCTCACAAGCTGAACTATTAATAGAATCAAATCAGATAATGCTCGGGCAGCTTTTTTACTAATTACCTAAATATACATTAAAAGGTATATGTATATGTGCTGTTGATTAACGGATTAGATCCTCCGTTATGGTACTCACTTAAAATTCAACCGACATCGTCTAACTGACCTCAGGTAGTAAGGACACGTGTCTTTACAGGCTAATCTCCAAATCCCATGACTACATTGATGCTGGCATGCCAGCAATCAACTACACTAAAGCAGATTAGGCCAATATTTATTGCTGCCAATGTGGTGTAAAGGGTGAAGGGAGTATTTCAAGGTGAGGTTTGGACAAAAAGGTCATCAAATGAGTCAGGAAACAGTTGTTTAAACTTCAACATTGACCGATTAGTAATGAACTCATCCATTCATGTGGATTCCAGCCACATACATTACGATGGAGGGAAAGCCAACATCAGTGGAGTAGCTTCCTCTTTCACCTGCTGTATACCTTTCTCCTTAAAATAGAAACACACCAACTCCCTTACTTTGGAGTAAGTGTAGTAGATCTATATTTATCCCCGGGATCTCTTAGAATTAAAGGGTAGGACTAGTATACTAGTAACTATTGTTTAAAGCCATGGGGAAATAACTTTAGAAGTAGACAACCCCGAAAAAACAAGGCACATTTTTGCCCAATATCCATGGCCCCTCTTCGAGTCCCATATGGGGAGTAATTGTGAGTAATCAGCACACTGTTGTTAATTCTCAAAACCTCTATCCCGAGCATCTGAAATCACTTGAACATCAAGGCTCCCGGGTGATTAATAGCAAAGACGGGAAGCTGGGAAGTGTTGCAAGTGATGGGGGAGTCTGCTGGGCATGAACCCACCTCGACCTGATCCCAGATCAGCGGATGTGAATGGATGGATGGATGGATGGATGGATGGACACTCCCAATTGTAAACAAGAGCCAGCTAGATGTATCAACGTCATCTTTTAATAGACAGATTTCTTTTTTCTCAAACACATCTAAGGAATTCTGAGACATACGTACATGTAATGCTTACGTTTACCAACATTATACATCTTAACCTTTTCTAAGTGGTTTCAGCAGTGGAGATTTCCATGTGCCGGATTCATTTAGTGTGTTATGTGAATAGCGTAGTCTTCTTAGAACACTGATCTTAGCAAGAAAATCACTGTAATCTTAAGAAGTAACCGACTACATTGGGCATTGGTTGTGTTGACACAACATAAGTTACACAACATTGACGTCATACGTGATGAGGTTTATGGAGTTAAATCAACAACACAACATTTTTACATCACAGAGATATTTTTAAGGGATGTTTTACAACCTTGACAGAGTAAAAGAAATATGCCATAATGAGGATTACTCTTCACTTGCAATGCAAATAATGTATGTTGTTAACAACCAGTATTACGCTCTGCTGGACCTACTAAGCTTTGTATTTTTCATATGTCAGATTATATAAACTGTGTTATTATTTGTCAGGCATAAGAGAAAGTTGTGTAGATCAAATGTTGATTGTTTTGAACTATTTTGACACCATACAAACATTATTAATCGCATTGGAATTCTAAACAACAATCCTGAATTATGAACAACTGCCACATGTACAGGTATCCAATGTAAGTATCCATACAACCAATATGGACTCCATATAGACTTGATCAATGCGAACAGTACATCCGGTCAAGTCTGAGTACGGTTATAGTTGGAAAACAAAAAGACAACATTTCTAAATAATAAAGAAAACAAATCCAGAGGATCCAAAATGAGTATATGATGAACTTTATCTGGAACCTAAAATGCTGAAGTTGAGTTTACCAAACAGTGAACATCAGTTTGAAGAAACCTGAGCAAAGCACTTCCTCACTCTGACATCACTTCCTCCTGCAGTGGCCATGACATCTGAATTTACCAAAACACCTAGTGGACCCTGGCCCAACATCTGGAGCCTAACCATTGACTGGAGAAAGAATATGCCAACACATTCTTCTTGATAATAAATCCTCTACTTTTACACAAAGGACGACAGTGCGTTGGTATCCACGGTGATGCACACAGAATCACTACACATAGTAGCTGTCAATGACTCACAAAGAAGCATAGATTACTGAAAGCATCCCTGCGGCCTTGAGAGATGCCTTATGTAAGAAGTCCCACACATGAATCACAAATAAAAAAGTCTCATGTAAATTACCGAGCCATTAGCTGTCCTCTAACAACTACACAACACACAGGGATTATGTACGCACTATTTGAAACAGAATACATCTCGCTGTGATAGGGGGTTACTAGCTCTGAGCCATATAAATTACATTTGCACAGGTGTTCACATCTGGAGCTCTCATTTGGCCTCAATATGATTATCTAAGAAGCACCAAAGTGTCGCATCGGAGCTCCTTATTAGCAATGATGAAATCCATAACCTCCACATATGAGCCGGCGTTATTTAATTGGGCAACGTGGCGTATTTACTACAAGCCGCTTGTGCTTTTCTGATCGTACGAACAGGCCTCACGATGAAGCCTGGGCACTGTGGGGAAGGGAGCCCCGAGGTCCCCGTGATCGAGCGGCGTCTGATTAATATCTGCCTCCAGCGGAAAGAGAAGAAGAAAGCCCATCTGCCATCTTTCCCATTGCCTCCTCTCATCTTAGTACACACGGAATAAGGTCTCGAAGAGGAGGTGAGGGGGGGGGAAGAAAAATGCTTCTCTCAACAAACTCAAATCTGCACCTCCTTTCAAGCTGAAACGGCAGTCCTTTCTCTGGGTGTCAAGGATGACTCCATATGTGTTATGCTTGTCCTTATTGTTCCTTTACACTTGCATCACTGTGTGATTGTCTGCCATTTTGAAATGCTTTTTTTTTTTTCTCGAGATGAACCATATCCTCATTCAGACTCCAGTTGATTGAAACGATTGTTTGCATTTAAGCCACTCGAGTTCTGCCACATCGGACACCCGCCTTTGAAGTACGGATGCTGCGGCTTCTGAGAATAGACCTGATCCTCAAAGCCTGCTCGGCATGAGACTACATGCAGCCTTATAGCTCCGAGCACATTAGCACGCCACCACTATGCTATTTCCAGCACTGGACATATTGCCAGAGCTGCTGGGATCTTCGTTAGACGTGTTAAACCGCAAGACTGCGCGGTGGTAAATCATCTGATATCCACGGGCGGATAACGAAGTCACACTTTAGCGGATCGTCGCTGGTGATTTATGTAAAAAAAAAAAAAAAATGCGATGCATGTGTGGCTATAGGTGTCTTACAAAAATATATATATCACCTGCCAGGTCGAACCACGATGAAACATGTGATGCAAGCACAGCATGTCTTGTTTTTTTTTAATAAAACGAGGTGCCTCTGATCGCCCGGGACCCCTCGGACAGCGGGGTTGTGTTGGCATCGGATGGGAGGCGCCGCAGCATTACGCGTTGTTCGAATAAGACACACGCAAACCAACAAATAGCGGCATAGATTCGCGGTTTGGAGGGTAAATGCGAGGGCATCGAATCGACGGCTTACCTTGTGGGAAGATTAACGACAATGAACGCCCAGAGAAAAAGCTTCAGGGGCAGGGAAGGCTTCGCCATTGCCGTCGAGCTTTTGGAGGCGAAATTCGGTGAACCCTTCTTCACCATCTTCGTTCGCTCCTATTGCAGATGGACGTGTCCGTCTATTTACTGCGAGTCCTCCCTGCGACACATAACGCACGTTAGCGGACGGCGGGTCTGCAAATGTGGACCCGAGGCGGAGGTGCGGTGAAGTGAAACCAGCCAAAACAAAATCGATGCAAGTAGAAAGGTTTTTTTTTTTTTTTTCTTCTTCCGCGTGTCTGTTGGCGAATCGTCAGTCTAACAGGGCCCTAATAAAAAATAAATAAAAAAATAACCCCGGTAATATGCTATTCTGATGTCGAGCGGCTGGAGAAAAAAAAACAACAACGGAAGAGCGTCAGGCTGAATGCAGATTAACGGAGGGGTCAGAGAGGAGCGGATGCACGTTGCTGCAGCACCACCGACACATGCGTGGTTTCACCGAGCGGAAGCGCGGCTGCACCGACTCCGGTGAAAAATACTTGGCCCGGTTCTGGGGGGGGGGGGGGGTGTTATGTTTAGCTGCACACAATTGGTATGTGTATATAATATAGTTATATATAAGTATTTATTTGCTGCAAATTCATGTTACATGTTCCTTGACATCTCAATTTACTTTTTCCACACAACTCCCCAATATGTAATCATAAAGAAATCTTTTTTATGGTTTTCCCTGTCTGTTTGTGTGTGTGTGTGTGTGTGTGTGTGTGTGTGTGTGTGTGTGTGTGTGTGTGTGTGTGTGTGTTTGTGTTTGAGTGTGTGTCCCTTTATGCTTCACTAAGAATCCTAAATGAGGCCTCAGTTGCGCCCGGTCTCGCTGTCAGGACCTTGGACAGCTCTACTAGCTTCAGCACCGAGGACAGCTTCCGTCCGTTGGCTGCTGCTCAAATGAGACGATGCTGGCTGTAACGGCCCAGTTTGAACAATAAAACATGAATAAACAACGGCATCCCCCAAAAGGAACTGATTTGTTTTCTTGGTTGTTAATTTTTCCTCTTAAATTGATTGTGTCGCTAACCAAGGTAGCCTTTGCCAGAGGACATATCTAAACTTTGGCATTATTCTATTTCTTTAATGATATATGGGTTTTTCCAAGTCCTTTGACGTAATAACAAATCTATCCAGATACAGCATCTTGAGGTTTGAATAGTCCTTGGTAGGGTGCACCCACCCATTTCATTATCCTTATATAAGTAAGATAATGCTTCTGCTTTGGTGCGGTGTAAATTCTTTCCAAGGACACCTTGAGGCATATTTGAGAAGAAATATGTCTTCGTAATCTAAAATACAGCATGGTAGTCAATCCCATACTGTCTCATAAATAACTTTCATACTGCGTTTGGCAATTCTCTCTCTCTCTCTCGCTTGATCTATTTATACACATTCAATAATACAGCGTCTCTAAATGCTACTTGAAGAGAGAGCAACTTTTTCTATGTGCGTAACGTAAAAGACAAGACCAAAGCAGAAATGTCCTCAGCAGCATTGTTTTGTTGTCTGTTTCAAATGACCCAAGTACACATCTGTCAAGTATTTCAAGTCTTCCTCTTAACTGTGAAAATAGAAAAATAGAAATCCTCCTTGACCGGAAGGGGTCAAAAGATGACCACCAAACAAAGGATCAAGGCGCACGCTGGTGCTTTTTTCTTCAAATGTTTGAGTCCTGATGAATTCATTCACTTCGAATGACAAATGTCCGTCATCTGGTTTCTGTTTTTTACAGCCTGATCTCCAAAACCTGTTCGTAAAAATGTATACGAAAATCTTGAACATACAAATTCGTAGTGATACATACAAAATAAATACGGACTGCAACTGATGACGTCACCCTATTCAAAGTGAATGGGGACCTGCACCCCGTAAACACACTTGAGAAGTCTAACAATGTAAAATAACCGTGTTATGATTGCATTTTTAACGAGAAATCAATGTTAAATTGTAAGAATACAATACTAACCCTAACCCCCTCAAAAAATCCAACATGGCGGAGAGACGTTCACTCAAGGGGCATGGTTAACCACCGCCAGTTCGTATGTATTTTTACGAATTTGTATGTTCAAGATTTTCGTATACATTTTTACGGACGGGTTTTGGAGATCACGTGGGTTTTTTAACATTAGTTTTCAGACCGGAGCAATCAGAGTTGATTGGCGCTGCCTCAGCATGACATGCATGGAAGATGAGCTGTGTCTGATTGGAAATAACCATCTTGTGTTTATTTGTGGCAAGTGAGGCTCAGTCTCGGTTAATCATCCTAATAAAATTGACAGATGCTTCATAAGGCCTGCAGCCCTCATCAAAAGAGAATAAACCAGCAGCCGCTCAGAAAAGCAGGGTTAATGATGAGAGAAAGTCTTGTAATTTGTTTTGTATATTCTTATAACCACTTTGCAATGTGTGTTACCAGGCAATAGTGTAGCCCAAAATATATTTTACTGGAGATTTGGGTCTCACAAGCCTAGCAGGTATACTGTATTACGTTTTAGGAGACGAGGAGAGTAACCTCTGTTACCCTTGCATGCCTGTTTTTTTTCCAATTTGACATTCCAGCATAGATATTCTACATATCTACAACTTTGGAAATACAAATGACATTTTTGGCGTTGCTCATTATACATGGGGAATGGATGTGGTCTAAACACACACACACACACACACACACACACACACACACACACACACACACACACACACACACACGATCCTGCATGTCCCGTATCATTCAGTCCCCGGGACAAGCTGTCTCTCTCTGCCCTGCAGCCATGTCACCACAGCTGTCAAGAGACTTTTTCCGTGCAGGTCATGACAACATTAAAGACACTGGTTATTAGTAGGAGATATTGACAAATGGAAGAGGTCACTCAGAAGAATGCAATATATCTAGTGGTTACAAAGTTGTATGGTTAATTAACCTATGTTGGATGTATTTTGTTAGTGGTGGATCATCATGGTTGGTTTATATTTACATTACATTACAGGTCATTTAGCAGACACTTTTATCCAAAGCGACTTACATTACACTTTAAACCCACGGCTTTTTCACATTTTTGCCCAGGGAGCAATTAGGGGTTAGGTGTCTTGCTCAGGGTCACTTCAACATGGAACATGGGGCAGCCTGGACTTGAACCACCAACCTTGTGCTTCCCAGCACACCTTCTCTAAACCCTGCGCCACGACGAATAAAAGCAATAAATAATTGCTTTAAATAATTGCAATAAATAATTGCTTTTATTCGCCCCTATAAAAGCAATTAAGTAGAGGTAAAAGCTTTTGTATTTCCCTTACAACATGTTACCAGATGTTTATCTATAGAAATATAATCTATATACCAACATTTATTCTGATGACAAAAGGCTGCCAGTTAATATCCATAGAAAAGAAATCTACCTCTCCTCCTCTTTTTCCAACTCTGTTTCCCCCTCCCCCTCTCTCCCTCTCACACACACACTGATGTAGAGAGAAACAGGAAGAGAGAATGAGAGATGTCAGGTTAGATCCACTTGGTTCAATAGTCACAGCAGAGTTATACACCAAACCGCAGCATCCACATATAACCAGTGCACCTGAGCTCTCACACATTCACCCACCTACAGAAACCGTTGCATTCGTCTGTATTTATAACATTGAGGAAGTACATGGGTGTAGGTACCTTTATTGCCTTTTACTCGTAATTCTTAAACATGGATTTACACGTGGAATTTAGTGTTATACAGACATACTGAAATTGAACCAGGGACTTTAGTGCCGTAGTGAAGTGCATTAAATCCATCACAATGCAGCAAACTGCAAATAAAATCAGCCTACTATAAAGCACCCATGGTTTTTATTTCAGAAATCAAAATGATTGGGTGTGTTGTGGGCAATGACAGCAGCGACATTTCGAAGGCTCAGTTTAGTGACACACCTTCCAAATAAAATTTCAACAGTGAGTTTATCGTTCACGGCACCCATTCTTTTTGCAGACGGGGTGCGTGTGTGAGTCTGGCTACGATGACATGTTGTGTCATCTTTAGATAAGAGCTGGGGGAGTTATAGTCTTCTATAATGGCACCATTGAACACACAGATGCCCAGTTCCACTATCATTCCAGTTTTACAACCCACACATATGCTGTCACAGGCCCACTCGGTTAGCATCAAGCTGTGGGAGCAGAATGATCCACTGTAAGCACCATTGGATATGAGAATATTGGTCTGGCATTCAGACTATTGCGACGTAACATCCCAAAAAGAAGCGAGGCACAAAAACTTTTGGGAACTTTATTGGAATATTCGGCGGCATGGATGAATATAAATAAAATAGAAAAGTACTGGAACGAAGATGAGTTGGTCTGCTTGTCAAAAATAGCAAACGTGCAAACACATCCCTGCTCACTGAGAGCTGTCGGAAAAAACACGAACACGAGAAAGCACTCGCTGAGGTCTGACATGACTAAAATGCTTAAAGCTCTGCTGAAATGCTGCCTGTCCGGATTCCACCTCGTTCACCTTCAGTCCATTTATTTACCATAGCTGTCACGTAGCGGAACCTTCTTTAAAACCTTCCTTAGAAATTGTTTCTTAATCCAACAACATGCCCTGCTGAGTCATTCGTGGCCGTCTACTGATTTAACACAGTCCCCCATTAAGAGTAACAGCACAGCAATTCTTGATTTGCTGCAGTTTACTTTCAAGCTCGTAACAATCCGTCATACTGTATGCTTCATGTCCACATAACAAACAATATAATAAGAATAATCCTGTCGCTTGCCACCTCGACCCAGGACACCAACTGTTGCCTATTCCCGAGACGCCGTGGTTACCAACACGGAGGTGTGCGGTTTGAATAACAACCACGTCATGGCCACTGGGGAAGATACCGCTGGAATAGGCTTGATATGTGATGCCAGCAGCAACACTCGCGGCGTGGACAGGGAGCCACGAAGGATGTGAACTCTTTCAGGCCTGTGGCCACTCAGAGATGTCATCCTGAAGGGGGCACGAGCCACCAAATCAATCACCCGGTGAGTCAGAATGGCGCGACCAAACAAGCTTTTACCCTCACTCTGTTTGCATTTAACACGCTGAAATAGATGGACTTTGTTTCGGAAAGACGATGTGATGAATGATTAATTATATTATGTAATCAATCATTCATCACATAGGCTTTATATATAATGCTGCACTGCAAAGCAGTGAGCTATATATATATTGTAACAGCTTGCAGATAGAAGCTGCCAATGAAGTGCAATCTATCTACTGGACATGGAAACTACCAAAGGTCAATCCATATTTTGAGGTTTGAGAACCTGTTATAACAGATAACAGTAATAGTAATGTTTGCAATGGTCGAAAAGGAAAAATGGCCTTAAAGTCAAGAATTACAGTATATTTCATATCTTAAGCTCCATTTGAGTTTTCGATTTGGCGATACATAGTTGAAAGA